AGGTAAACAGGTAAAATGCATTGAAAGAAAGAAGGATAATACCGCTTCGTGAACAAGTAGCAACTTTTTCTTTAAGACAGAAAAATTTTGAAAATATCAAAAATGAATGCACTGCTCAGCATTTTCTAGAAAGCTAAACAGTCCCGTAAAACGAGCAGTGTAAAGCAGATAAGTGGGAATAAGGAGAAAACCTATCAGAATTGAGATGAACATAGAAATCGAATAAAATGAAACTGAAATAAGAATTCGAATAAGCAGCTAGAAAGCTTTGGCTCAATGATCTGTCGATGCATTCCCATTTTTGGGTATAAAAAGAGGCCAATGGTATTTCCAATTAAATTCATAAAGAATCGCAACAAGAGAAATTTCATTCAAAAAGCGAATGGTAACCAACCACAATGAACTCATCGACTGATGAATCGGTTTTTTCCTGAAGCAAAGGAGGCAATGCCTCAGTGCTTCCATGTCCCGCTTCCAGTAGCTCCGGCATCTCATCGTCCTCAGCTGCCTCGATAGGTATATCCACTTCACAAGCATCCGCCATGTTATACTGCAAATAGTTGCATTGAGAAACATATCATTCGTTTTTACTATGCATTTAGCAGTCCAAATTTTGCAGATTTCAACTTGTGTATTGCTCAGGATGAAGCAACATTTCATGTGCCCCCCCCCCCCTCCCTCCTCAGATATGCCCACATATCCACATCGAGACTTATAAGAGGGTAAAATTCATCTTAAAACAAGTAGCAATTCCAAAATATTTCATCGCTTGGTATAACCAAAAACAGGAAGAAAAGTTGACTAGCGATAGTTTACTGAAACAACACATATCAACAACAATAACAATAGCAACAACAACATCAACATTCAGCATAGCAACAGAGCACCCGTAAAAGCAACACAATTGCGCAAAGAAACAAACAATCGAAGGAAGGGCAGCTGCTTGGACAAACGCCCAAAACCAATCACTTTTAATCGTCGGGAGATCTTGGATGGACCGGGAGAGCGCTGTATCTCACGAATTCGGCAGCCTCATTTGCGCCCAAGTATAATTCAGAAATGAAGCATTTTGCCTGGCCCTTGTTAACCGATCAAAATGCCTGAAATAAAAATTCATTGAAAATACACGTGGCTGCTCTCCAAGGGGGGATGGAAGTCGCTACAGCAAGTAAAATTCGTAAAAGGCATAATTAAATCGGGCGGAGAGTACTGAAAAGATTTCTTCTGTGAAATATGTGGCTGAGCACATTTGGGCATTGTTATCGCGTTATATTTTAGAAATTAGGGGAAATAATGGGGTGCAATGGGGTGATTAAAAGAAGGCGAGGACGGAGGAAGTGCAGGAATGGTGGGAGGCAGAAGTGTCTCCACTGAAAACGGTTCAAATAAATGCCGACAGAAGCAGAGAAATGTATTCATTAAAAAGGCATAGTCAAATCGGGCCTATTCAGTTGTTTAATTTTAATTATTTTTTAATTTAATTTTAATTAATTTTATTTACTTAATTTTTCAATTTAATTTCAACTAATTTTAATTTAATTTTAATTATTTTTGTTTCTGCTTTTTCTCTTCCCCGCTTCGTCAAATACACAGATTGCACTTATTATTTTCGAGTTAATTTTAATTTTAAACAATCCATCTCCGCTACATCTACTTTCTTTTAAATCATCATCACATAAATCTAGCCCATCATTTCGGGAAAGAGAGTATTGTGGTAACTTTAGCGACTATAAATGGACGAAAGTGACTAAAAATTATAAACATTTAAAATCTTACCAACAGAAAAAAAACTTAGAGTTTGCTGTTTAAATTTCAAAAAGTTGGCTAACAGAAGTAGTAGTGGAGATTCCTTGTGATATTTTCGTAAAAAAAAAAGAACGATACCTGAGTGAATATGGGAGAGTGGCTTCTAAGAACGAGTTGAAATTTGGCAATTCCAACAGCTGCTCGGGAGGAATGGAATGCAACACGCAATGCAAAACGAGTTGTGCAACCTGAAAAGTGAAGATTGATCGATTATGGCTCACTTTTGGCAATAATTCATTTTTGTAAGAAGTGCCTTGACCAGTGCATTAAAAAAATAAATAGAAGTGCGCACCAAGACGATCAAGAGTTTTGTACAATTTCGCCTACCGAACGATTGCCTGCTAATGATTTTCACTGCTCTGAATTTAAATTTGAAAGGTTGCACGCGGCCGGGGAACAGTTCTCCAAAACTTCAGCTTCCTAGATTCCGCAGTCCCCTGAGATGATAATTCATCCACTAAAAGTTTCGCTGGCGTATATATTACCCGCAGGCGTGGGAAGGCTGAATTTAAATTTTCTGGATCGCAAGTGGTCAGCGGACATATTGATCAAAAAAAAATTTTAGCTTCCTAGCTTCCGTGATTCCCGAGATAATAATTTTCCCCGTTAAGGCTTTTACGGGGTCGTACGTGTTACCCGCGGGTATAGGGAGGCTGAATTTAAATTTGTAGGGTCACACGTGGGTGGGGAACATTCCGCTAAATTTTCAGCTTCCTAGCTTTTGTGGCCACCGAGTTGAAAGTTGCGGACAAGTTGCTGTGAGCACACACACACACACACACACACACACACACAGACAAACCCGTGACAATATGCCTTTTGTACTGCTGTTACGAGCACAAAATGCATAACAACGAACAAAGAAGGTAAAGTTTGTGCGAGCAAACTTTGAAAAATGAAAAAACGAACATCCGCCGTTCGACTATTTGTATTCCACTGGGCAACAAAGTCTAGCAATATCGTCACTTCCTCAGTACGCAAATCCCCAACGGCACCTCGCAATTCATCATATTTCAATTCCATCATTTCTTGCACTATCTTCAGGCAACTGAAACACACTCAGTTTGTTTCAACAAGCGGTGGTTGCAAAAATGTTGTAGTTTGTTAAACAACTGGAATTAAGTGAATAGCATCAAAAGTTTCCAATTTTCACATCCTATCTACCGGGCACAGCACGAAACATTACACAGTTCGCTAAACTACCAAATAATACACGCAATGATTGCCTGTCCGGGAAGGAGACACACTGCAGGAGACCCTGCAGAGGCAAGAACTAATTAGCAGGAATGGGTATAAATATGTCATATATAGTTCTTTTCTTGCTATTTCTATTTCCTTCTTCTCACGACTCATTACAGTAATCCTATCCCCTACCCCATCTTAATCTTATCCAACAATCTCCATATTCCTTCCAATTCCATCCTTGCCTTGGTCAACAACTTTTTTTTAACGCACTTGTCTGGCGCCTTTTGGGTCTTCATCACCAGAAAGGAGGGACATTCCTTCACTTCCGGGGTGGATCCTTTAGGCTCCATTTAAACCTCCATTCCCCTCACTCTGGGTCTTGGTCCTTTTCCTGGTCTCGACTCCAATTGGTTTTACACGTTTGCCTTAAATTCGACTCTCCGCGTCGTCACACTCATCGACTGGACTTCACGAGACTTGGCAGAGCTCATCACTTCCCACCAAACTATGGTTAGGCTGGCATAACTGTTACTCTGATTGCTGTTTTCCGTCCTTTTTTTACACCCAATAAACGCTTTCGTGTGTACCCTGCGCTAAAACGACTACCACATCCATCCTACATTTACTCCGTCTATGTAGGAGAAATTGGCGGATTCAGAGGCGGTGGGTGTTTCGCTCCTTCCAGTGGCACTGCTAGGGGTTGTTTTACTGTAGAAAACTGTCTTTGGTACACCCAATCGCCCCGCTTTCACCTCCCCCTCCCCACCCCTCCTCTCCTTAGTCGTTGTTGCAGTTTAGGGCCAACCGGCGAGGTTGGGTAGCGGAGCGTCGGACATAGCGACGGCTGGGGAGGGGGAGAGGGAATGAGGCTTGCGATGTAGTGACAGCGGGGAAAAAAATTGCCAAAATCGTCCCCTCTCTTCCTTCCTCCCTCCCCCCCCCCCCCCCCCCCCCCCCCCCCC